AATATCTCACTTTAAAAGAACGGTGGATACCCTCCAGTGAAATCCACAGAGTCTTATTCTGGATTTCATCTGAATCTCATCAAATTCTGCAGAATTCAGCTCAAGACTATGGTTTCCACCGGGGTTTTGACCAGGAAACTTTCCTCAGGGATGTTTGCTGGAGGAAAACATCATCTCTCCAACAGATGTTACAACCCTAAACCTTGCACAGAAAATGCTTCAGACAGTATGTAGCCCTTGGGAGATTTCAGTGATGGAAGACGGGAAATGAAAGTGGATGTAAAGATGCAAGGAGAAGATGCAAGGAGGGCGAGGTTGTTTGTGGTGGACTGAGACCTACTTGCAAGAGACAGAACAGGGCCCATCAGTCCAACACGATGTCAGCAAGTTGGGGTATATCACATTTTTAGAGCCTAAAGGCTCATCCATTTCCTCTACAGGCAGGCATCTTCTCTGCTGTACCAGTTCTGAATCATGGCACTGTTTGTATATCCTGTGAGTCTGGCCCAGTTTCTGTTCTCAGTTACACCAGGAAATATTTGGAATAGTTCCGAAGATTACTGTCGATTGATGCCAAAGGAAGCAAGCAATGGCTCAAGGTCCTTGATGGAGAAAAGACATCCTTAGCACTGAGCCACATCTGTGAATCACGCTGCCACTCTGCCCTTCGCTGAACGCATTGCTCTGGGCCTCTCTTAGAAAAGGCTCAGGGCAGCCACCACGGGGGCTGAGAGCCACCCTTCCACCTCACTGTCTTTCCACTCAAAAGCTTTCCCAATGAGGAGCTTCCAGGACTAATTGCAGCAATTCCAATGAACGGTAACAAGGGGTTGAGATTTCCAGAAGCTCTTCAGCACCCGTAGCAATCACAGCAGACAACAGGAATTGCAAATGATCAGCTAAGTTGGCTAAAGGGTTGAACGGAATTGCTCTGTCACAGTGCCCTAGCCCCAGACCCACTGACACTTCTCCCCCTCTGTCTCCTGGCAATTATAGATTAAAAAGATAAATAAAAGCCACAACTTGCATGCAATCTCCCAGCTCATTCTGTAGCCACAATCTATTAGCACAGCTCCTCTGACTGCCATGCATGGAAAATTGTTAAGGGTGAAGCCCTACGCTGGCATCTGCAATGCAGACCTCATCATCTGAGAGGATTTCTGCTGTGCATTTTGCTCTTTCTTCCCGCACCAAATTCCCTTTTCACAGGCACACTAGCCAGAAGGGATTTCTGCAGTACAGCAACAGATCTGAAAGAACTAGTTCACCTGATATTCCCAGCACCACAACCACGTGGTTCTATTCACCTGATTTATGCCTTTCAATTGCAGCATGACCACAGGATGCAGATGTAGTATAACATATTCCCTATGCATTTTCCTGTAGTATGTTTTGTTTTGGTTTGGTTTGGTTTGGTTTTTTTTTCCTAAAATAATCAGGAAAGCAAAAAAAAAAAAAAAAAAAACCAAAAAACCTGACTTCATGCTTGGAAAAAAAAATTGAGAGTTAAAAAAAGAATGTTGTCCCAGCGCACTTATCCCATCAGAGAAACAGCTATGGGGTCCCACGTGCCTCAGGAAAGAAAGGGGGGAAGTGAACTAGTGTCAGGAGTCTGTTTGCACTGGAATTGGGATCTCTTGAGCTCCAGGCTGTTTGTTCTGAATGAAATCATCTGCTGCTGAAAGGCTCAATAACACTCCTGAATGAAGTTTTCTACCTACACCAACTTATTAACTTTTCTTCTAGGAAACCAGAGGGAGAAAAATCACCACGGAGGTCTTGCAAAAAAGAGCCATGGAGAGGGCTGGGCTCACACACATCCACATCCGCCCCGCAGAACGCCCATCCCTGGGGGGCTCAGGACAACGTGCTGCTCTTTCTTGGCCACAGCGCAGATGGAGATGGAGGGAGAGCCCTCAACAAGGCACCTGACACCTTGCTCTGAGCTCACACTTGGCTCTACAAGTTGTCTTCTTTCCCCACTTTGTCTTCCTTCCCCCAGCCCTTGCCGTCTGCCAAAGGGAGGTGTTCAGCAGAGGAATTGCCATCACTGAGAGCTGCTATACACCACTGCAAGACCTTAGCTGAGCAAAATAATGTTGGACCCAACAAGCCAGCCTTTGTCCTGTGTTCACATTTGCTGACAGCCACAGCTCTTCAGGTCCAGGTGGAGCTCCTCTCTCATAACTGCAGCTATTGAAAGGCAGACGTTTACTCTAAGCACATTGTTCAGACTACAAGCAAGGCAGGAAGGGTTCCTCAGCCCAACCTACACCCATATCACTCATGACACTCATGTCACCACCTTCTCAAAAGCAGTTCTGCTCTCTGGAAGCCCCTTTTGCACAGAGAAAGCCCAGAAACCCAGCCAGGGGTCTCTGCTTCTGGATGGTATCTTCAGCTGCCACTGGGTCCGTGCCCCAAGAGACACAGTCGGATCTGTGCTGGGAGCACATCTCAGGGCTCAGGCCTCTCTCCAACACTGCCCCAAGGCATGCAGGTGATGGGGGTGAGAAGGGGAGCACTCCAACCATGCTGGAATGGCTTTCCTCAAACCCACACAGCCTGCTGGCAGGGTTCTCAGCTCTGCTTTTGGCTATGAAATGTCCCTCTGCACTGGAAGTTAGGACACAGTTGAGACAACAAAGGTGCTTAGGCTTTCCTCAGCATGAAAAATTCATTCCCTCCATGGCTACACCCCCTAATGAGATGATCAGTGACCTGATGAATGTCAGGTCACCGCTTCCCAGTACTAAAGGCTGTGCACTGTTTTGTAAAAGCGTGGGTTTTTTTCCCAGCTACCTTCTTTTCCCTGTAATGAAGAAACTGCCCTAAAAGTATGTTCTCTGGGAGCACACGCAGCCATCACTCCCTCGAAGCCCATGTACCAACATCTGCCAGCCAGTGGAGAAAACAGCCTCACTACACGTGTGCATACACACATACATTGTACTTAAACATATATTTATATATGAAACATAAAACCACAAACGTAGGTTGAGCTTCTCTAACATACCCAGTGCTGAATGGTTATTTATCTCATGTATACATCACTTACATGTCTTGATATATTAATACATTTTGTATGGGTTGCGATACAGAAAAAGCCCACAAACGTGAGTTCTGATTTGTCTGTATTTACAACCCTGGGTGTGTCTTCATCATAATATAATAACCCAATCCTGCTCTCTTGTTAAAAAAATGACATCTTTGTAATGGTACAAAATTATTTCTGTGTAATCCGTATAGAGGATAAGTTATTAAGGAAACAAGCATCAGAAATTGTCCTATTAAGTCAAGGCTGTGGATTTTAACCCTTTCCACCATGTCAGGTCTGGGCATGTGTGTTTATATATTCCAAGTGCTTCTGTTCACTGTATCAGAGTATGACCACAGGCCCCACAGAAAAATGCCAAGCCATTTTTAGCACAAGCTCAGCATGGCTAGGTGCCATGCTCTTCATATGTCATGAAGCCCTTCTAATAGTCCTCACTGTTTTGCCTCCTCCCTCCTCCCTTCAGAAACCCCACAATGAATGTAAACCTTTAAATCTTCCCATTGGCCATAATGAAAGGGTAGTTTAGCAGCAAAAAAAAAAAAAAAAAGGTGCCGGGACATCATTACTCAAGTTCCAGTAAAAGTTGGAAGGCTGGCACTGGGGGAGGGAGCAAAGTTATTTCAACTGAGTGCACCCCCCAGAATAATAAATAAATAAATGAATATTGAGACATTGAGACATTGTGCCAATAGGATCTGTGCAGAGGGTGGGCAGAGGGAACACCACCTTCAGGGATGGCATGGAATTAGAAGAGTAAGTGCTTTATATATATATATACACAGAAGCTTTTTCTGATCTGATCCTGAGAATGGTTGCACGCAAGCAGACACTTGACCACTCCATTTGGGTAAGCTTATGGGTGTATTGAATAAGGTTCTGGGTTTGCAGGATTACAGGCATCATCTGGTGCCCTCCTTTTGCATGGCTGTAAGATCTATGGGACACCAAATACAGCAACTGTATGACTTGTGGATCTGCATAAACATCAGCTCCCAAGGCAGCAGCAACCACTTACAGCCTGGAGGGATCAGCTCCAGGTTCCTGGGCTGCCCGTGGGTGGATGCCTCCAGAAGGCGACAGCATGGCCCCTACAGCCCTCCGCTCAAAGCCAGCTTTGCTGCTTCCAGAGAATAAGGGATCTAAAGCACTCCTGCTCTCCTGGATGGAAAATGCTATATTGAGCCTCTACATCTGTCTTAGGTGTAATCACGGGTATGGCAAAGTTCCTGCAAAACATTTGCACCAGGAAGTAACTTGACACATGTATGAAGTTCCAAGTCAAGTGAAAGGCATGACGTTAATTACCAGCAGAGCTTGACATTTAGAAAAGGACTTTAAACAGGATTTTTAAACAGGATTTAGGCATAAGTTTCAGCCTACGTATTTACATCCAAAACGGAGATCCAAAAAGACCTCTTCAGCCACCACCTGGCCCTGAAGATCCCAACATTTTCTAACAGCTTCCTGTTTCACCCTGAAGTCACCATATCTATACCCCTGCTTCGAGAATCCAGGGCTGACCAGGAAAACACATCCTTTCTGCCTAAGACCCTCTGAACGTCAGAAACCAACACAATGCACCAAGTCTCCAGGGGCATCTGGAGAACTCTTAACAAAACTGCTCTCAGAACAGGGCTGAGGCCTTTGGCTCTACAGCACTACCAGCTGGGAAGAAGATATCTTCCAACTCTTCTGCAATAGCTCTGTGTTCCCGTGGCCCAAACCCTGCCTCTGCAACACAAGCATTAAAACTGGAGTGGAAAGTTGTGGATGTTGGCCTCACGTTGGAATGGTAGTTCACCAATTTGAGGTAAAAGGCACAAGAAGATGCCAGAGAAGGGACTGTCACCACATCCTTGTTCGCTCACCCACCAGTGACACACAAAACAGAGCCCAGAGCTCTCATGGGGCTGGAGATCCCCATGATGGTGGCATGCATTACCTCTGCATCCTGGACATCCTGTGGAGCTCCATGTCATCGCTGCCGCGGAAACCTTTTGCGAAGGGGTTGTTCTCAATCTTCAGCTGAGTGATCTGAAAGGGAAGAAGAGCAATGGGTTCATTGCAAGCCCAAGGCATGGTCAGGGAGAGAGGGGATTTTGTTTATTAAACCCAGGCCAGTTAAGATGGTGGGGGAAAGACACTTTTGGGAACTCAAGTCATCCTTCAGCTCAAGCTCTGAGCACTCCAGATAGGGCGTCCTCCAGCTCTCTCCACTGGAATAGTATCTCCTGCCTTTCACTTCCCTCAGGCTCGCCCCATACCTAACACACACAACTCTCGCTGGAGGAAAGCTGCTTTCTGAAAGATCCATACCGTCTTTTTACAGCTGAGATAGAAAGGGCTGCACTGAGCAGAGGGGCTGGTGATGAAGGTGGCATTACCCAAACAAATTTCACTGACACCAACAGATATTATCTCACCTGTGCATAACTATAACCAAAAACTCTCAAATCCTAGAGCCCACTCAGCCAAGGCTCACCCTGTCTGGTTACTCTGTCTGGTAGCTAGCAGCTATTTGCACTCCAAGAGCACTGCAGTTGACATGCTTCCCCTGCCAGATGCACACTTGCAGCAACAGATTAGGAATGTTTATCTCCCAATTAACTATAGAATGAATTAAGGGGGACTGCTTTGCTCTCCTAGTTGGTTACTATGAGAATCTGAAGTTAGCTAGCATGAATCTTCCTCAATCACCTAACTTCAGTCTTCCTGCAACACCAAACTTAAACATCTAAAGCATCACCTATAGAGAATGTCCCTCTATCCAAGTGAGCTCTGTTGCTCACAGAGATGCAGTCCTCTCCTACTGATACCTCCCCTGAGGACTTAGGCAAATATACAGGTTTTCTCACCCTCAGGCTGATGTTAAAGCAGATATCATCTGGCCAGCAACACTCCCCACCACACTGCTGATCTTTTACGAGCTCCCATTGCTGTGCCACTTTTGCCACAAGTGCTTTGGTGGCTCTGCAGAGCGAAGCTCAGGCTGGATCAGGTGTGCGCTGCCCTGAAAGCCAGCCTGCACCAGCTGCTCCTCCAGAGCTGGCATGGCAAAGTGAAGGCAGCATGAGTTTTGGCTCACTTGACAGAAATACAGCCATAAACTCACTGCTGTATGAAACAAATCTGTCTGCAGCATGCAGCCAGGGTCAGCAACCAGGGAGCACCAGCCTTGCAGGGAGAGGAGAGGTCCAGCCTCTGTGCAAAGCCCCATACCAACCTTCAGCTTATGTTGTATCAAATACATAGGCAGCAAAGGCTGCAGTTTCCCTTCTTCCCTTTCTCCATCACTGCCAGGCAGTCTGAGCACAGGGCCAGAAGCAAGGAGAGCCCTGAGCATGGAGCGGCTTCATGCACTCACCATCCTTCCTTCGCACTGCTGGTGGGCCAAAGGGAAGGGAAGCGCTTGGGATTGATGGCGGGAGAACAAAGAGAGGTTCATGCTCACCAAGCCGAGCACGCACAACTGGACCCATCTCTTTGCCAAAATTCAAAGAGAGAAATCTGGCCCGGCCAGTGTCAATAACAAGCACCGCCAGGTGTCTGCACGACCAGCTCATTTTGTTTTTTTCTCATCGTATAGCATATTTTTTCCAAAGGCTAGTTGTTTACTTGACTTTTTTTTGCCTAATTTGATCCCAAATCTCACACAGCCCCCATCACCCACGTATGCACATCCCCACAGGCACTCCCATTAAGTCAGGACCTAATTCACCACATAAGCAGGCGCTGCTTTTTTTTGTCACGCATTTCCGATTTCAAAGCAGAGGCTGAACAAACAACCCATTTGGACCAACCTGCCATTTGAGCTGTTGTCTAGCAGTAAACCAGTGATATATTTCATAATTAAAAGCCCCAAACTGTTAGAAAGCAGCTGTGTACGTTGCAAAGTAACTGCCTATCAGTTTCCACCGCTGAGGTGGTGGCACTTCTGTAGTGAATAATAGGCATTATTCAACTTGTGGAAGGTTCCATTTAATCTGCATTCTGAAATGCACTAAATGTACGGGTTGTCCTCACTTGCCGAACCCAATGGCAATATTTGCTTGCATAAGAGAAGTCCTTCATGGAGTGAGGATTTACAGTATTGGCACCAGCACACAACCGTACAAAGGCGCGGATTCATCCCAACCTAACCGAAGGCTCTTTAACCAAGGAGCCTGCACAGAGGACCTCAGCTCCCAGTGTTCCTGCTGGAATCAAGGGAGGAGATGGGGAGTGCTAGAGGGCAGGCGGGCTCTGGGGTGGGCAGCATTGCCCAAATTCACTCTGTTCACTGAAGAAGGAGACGCCAACATGGGAGCCCTTTAGTTAAGCATCTCAGCTAACTGCTCTTTTTGACAAATCAAACCTTCAGTCCCCCACAGAATGTTGGCAAAATATCATACAAGACCTCCATCTTGCAAAACATTGCTTTACTAGTAGAGAAACCTCCTAACTCTCTTTGGGAATGCTTAGAAACAATGGGATGAATGTACGTATTGCTAGCAGAAAGCCCCAAGTAGATCAACTGGAAATGAGAACACCTTAAAACAAAGGATCTGCTGCGTTGGAGGGGTCTAAGAGTTCTGGGGTACAGAAGGCTCCAAGTTAGGTCTGAGCTCAGTAGTGTGCAGTCTTTAGATGGGTTTCCAACTGGTTTCTCTGGATAACACTTAGGGGCATCAGCCCTAGCATTGAGTCTAAGACAGTTTTAGAAAAAAAAAAAAAAAAAAAAGTGCAACAAATTAGAAAATAGAGAGCAAGCTAGTGAGCATCTGCTTTAGAAAACAGCCTCTGGAAGGTATTTTGTTTGGCTGCTTTTTGTCTGGCTTCAAAACTATTCAGAAGTGGAAAAGCAAACAAATGGGTGGAAATTGCCTTCTTCTGGATCGGTTTTGCCACAGCAAAACTCTGTTTAATTGACTGCAATTCGTTGGGGGTGGGGACAAAAAAGCTGTCAAAGTCAAATGACAGTGACATCATTTTAAAATAAATAAATAAATGAATGCCACGTCCCACAAGGTCATTAAGATGGAACACTTGGGGCTAAATCACACAGCACGGATTCAACAAAAACATGGGGTTTTGTTTATTGATTTGTTACTAGAAGAAATTGATGGCAAAGTTATGTTCTAGCCTCTGATTGCTGGTGCTGTTGCAGACCCCTGAGTGTCAAGCACTTTCCCAGTGCAGCCTTCCCAGTCTGCACTTCTCTGTGCCTGTCTGACCTATGGGTTCATCTTCACTTTAACGGGAAGCGACAGTTCCCAATGAAATCTCAGCGCCGCTCCTCCGCGCCTTTCTCTGAGCTAACTGACCACAAAGCATGTCTGCTGAGACATTTCCAACGGCATCTCTCACTCCAGCAAGATAAAATTGAGCTTTGCATCTAGTTAGGTGGAAGAAATGCACCATCTTTGCATTTTTCGTTCTTGCCCAGCCTTGTATTTACACAGGTTTATGTCTCTAGATTCACGAGCAGCAAGGGTCAAATTACCACTCTGTATTGATAAGGTTTCTCTCCATTATTTCTAACCGTTAAACTTTGTTAGGGCTGAGGTGTCCCACACCAGCAGTTCGTTCTGGTCTCCTTTCTGTTTATGTTCTTTTCCTATCAATCAAACCAGTCCCATATTTTTTGAGCACCATAGCCAAAGGGAAGCACACCGCTCTGACCCTCTGGAGGCTATTGCAAAGCCATCCCAAAGCCGGACACTTTGGAAAATCCCCACAGGTGCTGGGAGTAACCAGGAGGCTGGGCTCCAGGCTTGAAAGCACAGAGCCTTTTTCTTCTGTGCTGTCACGTACCCCAGGTGGGAACCAACTCAGCATGGAGGAGAAAGCCAAACCAGAGTGGTGTGAAGGGAAGGACTGGATGAAGACAAGGTGGCTGCTGAGGCTGTGTGCATCTGGCTGGGGCAGGCAGAGCAGCTGGATGGGGAACGGGGACTCAGAGCCCAAGGGAAAGGCTGGCAGGGGGGAGAGAATGCTGAACCCAGAGGGCAGTGAAGGAAATAGGAGGGACTGTGAGCCAGTGACTGGTCAGAGCTACTGGTATGAGACAGAGGGGCCCATTGAGGAGGCTGCTGGCTGAACTGGGAGGCAAGGACAGAAGACAGAAGAAGAGACAGACCCTGCACAGTGCTTAGGTGGGGAGGAGGTGGGTCAGGAGGTGGGAGAGGGTGAGAGTGGGGAGAGCTGTAGTGCCCAGGGTCCCCTCAGAGAGGGAAGGCACAACCCCAAGGGCCCCAGGCTGAGCAGGGACAGGCTGGGGGATAGGAGTGGGCCCAGCCCCTACACTGAGGCACTCCATGGGATGCCAGCTGGACCACCATCTATCCATAGCCTCCAGCATCCTGAAGAGATGGATATAGTTCCCTGCAATCCAACCAGGAGAGTCAGTCTCTGAAATAAAGCATCCTGAGCCCCAGCAGCTGCCCTCCTCAAAAGAACAGAGAGCCTTCCTGGTTGTCCACATCACTGTGGTGCCTGCAGCACCCCAGCTAGTGCTGATGTTACCCAAAAGGAATTTGGGCTACTGAGAATGATGAATAACTTGGGGGGAAAAAAATCAGCATAAAACCGGATATCCTGAGGGAGGGAAAACTAATATAGCCCAAGTCCAGCTAACAGGGAAAGTAGGTTGTAAAAATTAATGAGAATAATTGTTGTGAATTCTTGCTTTTGAAAGAACCCTCAAGAGGGCAGAACCTTAATTATTTCTGTCTATTAGGGTTCATTTCCTGGTCCTAAGTAGAGACCTAGTACTTAATAACCAGTAACACAATGGTTTAAGCTACAGCAAAATGGTACTTAACTGTAGGGGAAGTTAATATTTGGGAATCAACCTGATTGCAAGCACCCATTGTGTAAATGGCAAGGAAATGAAATGCGCATGTGACCTATTTTAACACCTCGATATTTCTGGGGTCTTTTCTCAGGGCTGCAGTGACGGGGGAGGTGGCCAAGCCAGCTGCTGACAAGTCCACTGAAAAATTAACAAAAACGTTCCTCGTAGCTGAGCCCTCCTTTTGGGGAGCGGGCTGGGGAGAGGGAGAGCCCAGTGGGCTTAAATATTTTTGCAGGCTGCCTAAAATATCAGGGGAAATAAGCACAAGGCCTGTATTGGGATTGCAGCTGTGCTCTTGAAATGAACGGACTGATCCGCAATCAGACAGGTATTTCTGTGGGCTGTGTAAGCATCGAGTCACATGCGGTTATGGACGAGTCGTGCAGGGAATACTACATGCTGCAACATCATGCAAGCATGACATAGTTTTCGAAAGCACACACGTGTGTAGGCTAGTGTGTGCACCTGTGCATGAAATTGTGCACGTAAAATGAATCACTGCATAATAATGGTGTGTAATTGCACGGACAGGAGGATCTGTGTGAAGGGTGCTCTATGGCTGATGGATAGAAGTGAGAGAGGTGGCAGTAAGTGGGTAAGAATAGATAGTGCGCAGAGACACACGAGGATGGAAAACCAGACCAAAGCTCCTTGCTGAGCTCCACAGACACAGCCTGCGATCACTTATGGCAATAGGAAGCATAACCCAGAAACACTCTTGGCCTCAAAAACACCCCGCTGTGACAGCAGAACTGGGGCTTGTGCCCACAGAGCAGCCCTACATGCAACGGACATCACCATTCCACACTGCCAGCACCAGCTGCACCCTGGTGCTGCGCCTCCTCGACACAGGGGCAAGCTGCAGATTTTATTCCCTTCCCTGGAGGGAGATGCCATTTAGGGTAGATCACTCCCTGGTTTATTTTTATGGCCCTATCTTTCTCAACTGGGGCTTTATCTTGGGGCTACAGCCATTCTTTTTCTCGTTCCCCCAATGACTCAAGGCAAGCAAGGAGAGGAATGTGTGTGCTGGGGGGGGAGGGATGTGAGAGCATGTAAAATGTGTAGGGGGTGTGTAAAATATGTAGTGGTGTCTGTGTGCATGTGCATGTGTCTGCAGGGATGCGAGCGCGTGTGCGTCTGTAGAGATTCATGCGCTCGTCAGTGCGTGTGTTTTGACAGAGACGGATACGCAGATGTCATTCCTTATCAACCAGATGTTGTTGATTTACAATCAAATATCCCCGCTCCTCCTAATATGGCAGTTTTCCCAAACTACTGTACTTACATGTTTTTGCTTTGCTTTGTTTTATTTGCGTGGTAATTCCTCCCCCCCTACATAACAGTTCTATTTTTCTTCAAAGGAAAGCAATTAAATTCAGGCCTGTTTTCTCACAGGGAAATGCATTTAAAGCAAGCAGTATGTCCTGTTTTATTAACTCCCTGTTCTATTAATATTATATTCTTTCTCCGAATCCATCAAGCAGAAGTTAAACTCAATTTTATAGCATCCACAACGGAGTTATAATTTAAGGCATAATTTGGCGAGGGCTCAACTTGGATCCAGTCTGCTTGTCCTGGCTGTGCCAGCAGCTCCTATTTTAAAGGGC